AGTTATTGAAATGAGGTTTTTATTGGTAAAAACCAATAATCTTATTGGTTTGTATTTCAATAAAGTTATTGGTTTGTACCAATAAGGTTTGCAGGCTGCAACCAATAAAGCTTATTGGTTGCTTCTGGCAACATGCATGCCATCCACATGCGTAAGTTTCAGCCAGCTATATATCCAGCAGCTCTGTTGTGGCTCCAACGGTGTGGTGTGTTTACACCTTTTTTGAGATTGGCTTGCAAAGGCCATTGCAAAGCCCTGCAGAAGGGCAAGCCTTGCATAAGGGCAGCCTGGACCTAGCAAAAGCCATGGATAGAGTTGAAATGGATGTGCTGGACATGGCCCTGGCAAGGCCTCCCAGCAATGCAATGGAGGAAATCCAAGCCTACTGGCAGTACCTGGAGTGCACCAGACCGTACTGCCATGGATGGCTTTGGAGGAGACACCTGAATAACCCCACCTGGGGCATCAGGTGCTATGTGTGCAGAAAAGCCTGGAGAGAAACCTTCCAGCAAGATGGGTGGCAGCTCTGGGACCCTAGGCACAAAAGGAAGTATGTGTATGGAACTTAAAGAGCACCTGGAGTCCCTGAAAAAAGGTTGCCCTGAAAAAGGGATGCCCTGAAAAAGGGCTGCCTTGAAAAAAGGCTGGTGCAACAAAGAGAAACTGACAATGAAGCAGGTGAAAAAAATGGGGATGGGGAGACTGGGTTGTTTCTGTTGCTGTTACAGCAGCATGTTCTTGTGCTGCACACTGCATGTTCCACCATGTCACACCTCTAGCTGCTGCAGCTTTTTTGGATCAAAATTGAAGGCACTTAGATATTGTCGCCTGGTCAAAGCCTTGCAAGAAGGCATTATGCATCTAGCCTTGAAAAAAGGCAGAGCCTTGAAGAAAGGCAGGGCCTTGTGTAAGGGCCATGGTGCTCATGAAGGCAGTCAAGAGAGGAGCAGGGGCTGGCAACAAAAACCACATCAAAAGGAATGCTTTTCCAGATGTCAGCCAAGACAAATTGGATGAGGAAGTGGGCTGCTACATCAGATCCATGGGAGTGGCTGCCAGCTTTGACTTGCTGGAATACAAAAACCTCCAAGGTCAGCAGGCAGAACAGCCAAAGGCCTTGTTCAAACTGCAGAAACTGGTGGAAGCAGTGCTGAAAGTCAGCCCTTCTGCCCAAATAAAATATGGGCAGCTCAGGCAAAGCTTGCAGATAGCTTGCAAGAAGTTTGGGATGGAACTTCTTTCTGCACACTGGCAAGTGGAAAATGCCCATTTGCCTGGCAAGGCTGCAGATGCCTTGGGTGTCATGCTGAAGCACTGGAGAAGGGTGGCAGCTTCTCAGACTGCCTGGGACAAATTTGGCAGAAAGCTTGAAGAAAGTCATTTCAAGCAGCTGCAAAGGCTTTACAAAATGATGCAGCATGGGGGCCAAACTGGGAAAGCCAAAAGGGAGCTTACAGCCCACATCAGTGATGTGACAGTGGATTCCACAGGCATGCCTGCTATGTTGAAAGCAAGCAGTGAGGAAGGTGAGGAAACCATTTCAGACTTTGACAGCAAGGGCAGCCTGATGGATAGCCCACCTCCTGTTGCAAAAGGTCTTTGGAGGGAGATGGCAGGCAAACCTTTGAAGAAAAAACCTGCTACAAAAGCAAAAGAAACTGCTGGCCCATGCAAAAAACCAGCCAGCAAGCACAAGTCAAAGAAAGCAGGGTTGGCAGGTGGACCTGCAACCAAAATCCACACAGCTTCCTTGAGTGTGGGGGGTGGCAAGTCTCAAGCATACATACAACATGTTCCAGGGCCAGGAAATGAAAAGAGGCTGATTGTGGCTTGCACAATCAAGCAGGCAGCAGCTTTGAAGGTCTCACACAAGGCCTTAATACAAGAATTACTACCCAGATACAAAGTCCCTGGTACCACAAAGGGGGACATCCTCAAAGCCAGGGATGATCTTTTCCAAAAATATGAAAGGTGAAGTTAGCATTTGCCTTTCAAAAAGGCTTAGCCCTGCAAAAGGGCCACCCTTGCAAAAGGGCAGCCATGTTTTTGAAACATATATGGCCCTCCAAAGTGGGAAGGCAGCTCAGCTGGCAGCAGAGGCTACATGGCTGCTTGGGAAAAAAAGGTTGGGCAGCAGGCAGAGCAGCAGGAAATGAAGACATGGCATGTGTCATGAGAGTGGCAACTCAACAGCATGTGTCTGAAACCTTTTTGCATGCCTGCAGCTTGTTTTTGCTCAAGCATTCAACTGCCTGGCATTTTGTCGCCATTTTTCAACTGTTGCAAGCTTTGTGTCAAAAGGGAAGCCTTGAAAAAGGCAAAGCCTTGGAAAAAGGCCAGGCCCTGCAAAAGGGCATAACAAAGATGTCTGCCCAGGATGGGGGTGATGAACAACCTGACTGGAGTCCTGATGGAGACACAGATGTCAAAGAACCCAAGCAGGAAGAAGTCAAAAAGAAATCACCTCCCAGAGAGGCCCAGCCCAATGAAAAGAGCAACCCACCAAAGCAGTCACCCAGCCCTGCCAGGATGAACCCACCTGCCAGGAAGAACCCACCTGAGGAGAAGCCTGTGAAAGGTGGCTGGTCAAGGTCTTCTTGGCAGCCTAAGGATTCCTGGGAGGATGGCTGGGATGACAGCTACTGGGGTCATGGCCAAAAAAGTTGGCCAAGATGGGAAGATGACCAATGGTCTTCCCATGGCAGAAAGGGGTGGGATGATGATGATTGGGGAAACCACCCCAAAAAGGGTGAGAGTCAAACCAGTGGCTCCTCCAAGGAAAGGAAAAAAACTGGAGCAGCTGAGGCAGCAGTGCCCCCAAACTGATGATGAGGTGCTGAAGCTAGCTGCTATGGGAGGCAGCAGGTTCAAAAGGCTCCAAAAAAGACAGGAAGAAAGAGAAGAAAAAAGAGAGCAAGCTGAAAAGATGAAGAACCTGGAGAGCCAAGTGAGCCAGCTGCAGGAATGCAACCTGCAATGGATGCAATACCACCAGCAGCAGCAGTACCAACAAGCTGCATGGCAAGCAGCTTCTGCCTGGCCAACCCAAGCCTATGTGCCAATGGCTGCAGGGCCTATGCAAGGCCCAACACTGTTTTCTACTCATGCAGTGCTGTTGTTTTGGCATCATGTTATACCAAATGTGTATCCAATTTCTGCTGCCACTTTGCCTTCTTAATTTCTTCTTTGCAGGCCAGCCCAGTGGAAAAAGCAGGAAGCATGAGCAGGCTGCCAGCCCTGCCACTGCAAGCTCCAGTGCAGATGCTGGACCTCCAACCACAGGATTGATTTTTTTTTGATACCTGCTGATGTTTTTTTGGCAGAGCAGTGTTGCCACCTGGGTTGTTGATTTTGGCCTGTGGCAGGTATGGCCAAAAGAGACTCCCTGAGGCCCAAAGCAGCCAGCAGGCTTGAGAAGGCCACCTATGCAGAAGTCCTGCAAAGAAATGATGAGAATAGAAACGGTGAAGGGAAAAAAAGAAGAGGGGATAGGCCCCCATGAAATACTCAGAGGATAGCCTTGCAAAAAGGCACACAGCCCTGAAAAAGGGCCAAGCCCTGAAAAAGGGCAAATCCCTGAAAAACGGGAAAAAATTGAGCACTGCAATGGGCAGTAAGACTGGAGCCCTGCATGCTGTCCAATGGTGTTGGAAAAAATGGGAGGGGTGGAGCCTGGAGCTTGGAGGTTTTAGTTTCCAGTTGATGTGTTGTTCAACCTCAATTTCAACTAGTTGGGTTCTGGTACCTCAGTTTCAAATGTTCTTCAACCTCAATTTTGTTCATTGGAAATTTTAATTTCTGATATGGTTTTCAAATTTGTGTCAAGCCACCAAAAAAAAAGGCAAATGCCTGAGTTCCAAATGATGTTGTGTCTACAACCCACCACATTTTTCTGATGGGCAATGTTTGGGGCCAAAAAAATCAACATTGAAATATATTTTTGGCAGTAAAAAAAATCCCCAAATGGGAAAACCTTTTTCTGGGCTGAAAAATTGGCACCCATCATATTCCATCATATGATGTCATATGATGGGGGGGGGCCATCATATGATGTGGGGTGCCATCATATGATGGCAAAAACCCATCATATGATGGGTGGGCCCATCATATTGCATCATATGATGCCATATGATGGGTCTCCATTTTTTTGATTTTTTTGGAAAATGCTGCAGCCATTTCAAAATCTCAAACAATTTTTGCTCGCCCTGTGAAAAGGCAAAGGTTGGGCCTTGCAAAGGGCACCTCCAATGGGAAAGGCAAAGGCAATGAAAGTCGAAAAAAAATATGTGAAAAAGCAGGGCCCTGGAAAAGGGCAAGGCCCTGGAAAAGGGCAAAGCCCTGAGAAAGGGCCACCAAAGCCCAAAGGCATTTTGAAAAGGCCATCCACCTTAGCCTTGCCCAATAGAAATGACCCTGGGCTCTCCCTTGAGGAGAAAATGGAACAGTTTGCCAAAAAAACCAATGGGAACACCCAAGAGTTTTTGGATAGCCTCAGTGCCCCTCAGAGAGAGGCTCTCTGGGGAAGGTTTGCCAGGGCAAGGAAGTCCCTCAAAGACCAGAACTTGAACCCCCTTTGGGACAAGCACTGCAAAGGAGAGGGATCAGAGCAGCACAAGAAGCAGCTGCTGTCCATCTACCTCAAGTCCAGAGGGGATCTGAAGTAGGGCAACCAGTATGCCAAAGAGTTGGTGGAGATCAGTGAGACCACTGGTATCTTGGTTGCATTTGGATGTGGTCTTCAGCCTGTGGCCTTCAGTCTGTGGCCTTCTCCCTTCTTGCCACAGCTGAGGCAGCAAGGAGACATCAGAATGGGTGCCATTCAATGTCATCCTTCAAAGATATGGCCTCAAGGAGGCAATGCGCAGAGCACCTTTGGCTGCATGTTGTGAAGTCACTAGGCACAGCTATTGTCACTAAAGTGCCACACAACTTGTTGCAGTCTGTGGTTACAGTCTCAGGTGCAGAGAGGATCAATCCAATGCAGGGGGGATCCAAAGGACATGGAAGAGTGGCAATTTGCCTTGGAGAAAGAAGTGGCCTACAAAGATGTGAAGAACCACCATGCTGTGGCTTTTGAAGCCTCTCAGAAGATGGAAGCCCTGGAGTGGATGAAAGCTAGGCAGCATGGCTCCATGAATACTGGAGATGGGTGCCAAGGTGAAGATGCTTTGTCTGATGTGCTGCCTGACAAAGCCAAAACCAAAAAGAGGGAACCACTGGCCCTGATGGACAAAATGGATGAAGAAAGCGAGCAAGAGCCAGAGAAGACCCATAGCCCCAGCAAAAAGGCAACTGCACTTCACAAGGCAGTGGAAGATGCAGAGGTGCTGAGTGACCTTGGCAGAAGCAAGAGCAAGGACCAGGCAGCCAAGAGGGTTCAGAAAATGATCAAACTGATCAAAGATGTGAAGGGTAAGGCTGGCAAGACCAAAACCAAAGGCAAAAGCCAAGGCCGGCGACAAGCCCGGCCATTCGTCAGGCGAAGTGCAGTAGAGGCTGGTGGTATGAGCAGTCCTGGCGAAGTTGCAGAAGGTTCTTCAATGCGGGTGCCTGGTGCAGCTGCGCCTGAGATTGACGTGCCAGCCTTTGTGAATTCGTGGCCTCGACTCCTGCTGAAGTGCAATGGTCGGTTGGCGGTTTTTTTGCATAGCATCCTCAGTGCTACTTCACTCCTCTGTGATGAGGGGACTCCTGACCAAGCTCTATGGCCTCTTCCTCTTCCTTACCCTGAAGTTTTTCGTAGTGGTGTCAATGTGCTTGATGGTTGGAAGAAGAGGCGGCTATGCCTGCAGCTGGTGGTGTTAGACTGGCTATACCTTGGGCAGCCGGCTGCTGCTCCAAAGTCTTTGAAGCTAGGCCAGAGACTCACACCGGGGCAATGGAGGATAGTGCGCCTCCTTGAGAGCTTGGCGGATGATGCGAATTCAATTGTAAAGGTTGATGCAGCTGGTATGGGCCGATGTGCCTCCAAAGCTGAGACTCAAGACGAGGAGTTGGGCGCTTTGCATCGAGCCCTCCTTCAAGTACAGCAGTCCGCCCCTAAATACGGTGGTGGGAGTTTCTCTTGCACTACGTTCACACCTGAGAGCGAGAAGAAGTATGCCGGGTCTGTTGTTGGAAAAATGACGGGCAAGCCTTTCGTCGCTGCAAAGGCGCTGCAAGCAGAACGGATTCAGTTTGGTCCTCCTCCCTCTTTTGACCCTTTCCCCTACATGGACCCCAAGACCGCCAGCATGTACGAGCAGCCTGGCCTTTTCCATAAAGATGCACATGACGCTCCTCCTCATGTTTCAGTACGTGCAACTGCAGAGGAGAAGATGTCCCTTTTTTTGAAAATGGCGGCCTGTGGGCGTCTCAAGCTGCTCAAAGCTGATGAGGTTGAAGAGGCCTTTGCTTCAGGTCTCTTTGCTGTCACCAAAGACCTTGCACGAGACAGGCTTATCATGGATAGCCGACCAGCTAACTGCAGAGAGATAGGGCTTAATCACTGGTGTGGGGCTATGGCAAATGCTTCCATGTTGGGACAGATAGTTTTGGAGGACGGGGAAGAGCTTTTGATGTCAGGGCAAGACGTGAAAGACTTTTTTTACCAGTTTGTTGTGGGAAGTGAACGAGCTGCTGAAATTGCCTGGTTGGTCGCCTTGATGCGTGTGACTTGGAGAAGCTTTTTCCAAATACCCCGGTGCCATCCGAGGGTGGCTTTGTTGGACTGAATACCATGGCCATGGGCGACTTGTGTGCGGTTGAGTTTGCACAAAGCTCTCACCTCAGCGTCCTTTTGCACTGCCACTCCATTTACCCTTGGGAGCTCTTGCGGCTTCGCAGTCCTATGCCGCGTGGTCCTTTTATGGCTGGAGTGGTGGTTGACGATTTGGTGCTTTTGGAGCGAGTTGTTTCTGGCTTGAGAGAACAGTGTGTAGCTCTGCAGCGTATGCCTCTGATCAAGGCCAAGTATGCGGAGGTTGGCTTGCCTACAAACGATAAGAAGGAGTTCATCAATTCTACCTCAGCTCGTTTTTGGGGTGCTGAGGTTGATGGCGAGCTGGGCATTGTGCGACCTAACAGCTACCGAGTTTGGCCCTTGATGCTGATCACTATGCGAGTGTGCTGCTTGGGAGTCTGCAGTGTCAGCCTGCTTGAAAGCCTTTGCGGATCATGGATATCAGTGCTGATGTTCAGGCGTCGTTGCTTGTCTGTCATGGCCGAAGTCTTTGAAGTCTTGCATGCTGGCCTGGCGCAGAATGACATTGTACGTCTCAGTGAGGCGCTGAAGGATGAGTTGCTTTCCTTGGTGGTTTTGGGGACCCTTTGTTACGTCAACCTGCGTGCAAAAGTGCTGCAGACTTTTCGCGCAACTGATGCCTCCGACTGGGGTACTGCAGCTGTTGCGGCTGCCCTGCCTTACCAAGTGGCAAAGGAGGCTATGCGCTTTAGCTTGAGCAGGAGCCTATGGAGTCGTTTGCTGCCCCCGGGCAAAGCTTGGTTGAAACAAAAGGGTCTTCTTTCCTTCAGTGAAGAGCTGCCTGGTGATGAGAAATATGACACTCATCCTCTTTGGGAGTTACTTGCAAGGGCTTTAACTTTCAGCACTCAGTGGCGGCGGGCTCACACCCGGCCTGTACACATCAATGTGGCCGAGCTTGAAGGCCACTTGCGAGAAGAGAGGAAGCTGTGCAGGCAGCACCAGAGTTTTCGGTGCGTGTATGGTCTTGACAGCCAGGTTGCTCTAGGTGCTCTGGTGAAGGGTTGTTCGGCTTCAAAAAGCCTAAATCGGCTGCTCCAGCGAAGCTTGTTACCCATGTTTGGAGCTGATGCATATAGTGGCTGTGGTTTTCTTCCCTCGGCCATAAACCGAGCTGAAGCACCAACACGTGACAGAGAGGTCGAGGGCCCAGACATGGACCTTCCAGCTTGGTGGTCTTCACTGGTGGAGGGTGATGTTGCAGGTTTTGACCTTTGGTTAGAAGAGCTTTGCGCCTCCATGCCGGCGGCGCGTGACCCTTTTGACTTCACAGAGCTTGGCTACAAAGAAACGCTTGAGGTGAGGACGGGAAAGCAAGAGAGAAGCAGATGCCATTTTGGCAAGAGTGCACAGGAGCTTGTTCAGCTCGAACCTTTTTCGCCGGAGGAATCCGGCGCTCTGCCCAGTTGTTGCGAATTGTGCGATGAGGCTGTTGGTCTCCTTCAGGAGCTTGAAGAACGGGGGCAAGTTTGGTGGCCCAGTGGGTCCAGCCGCCGCTTTCAGACTGCAGGAGCTCTAGACCTATATACTGGACGCGGTGGGGTTGCAAAGCAGCTGCTTAAGAATGGGTGCCCTTTTGTGGTAACCTATGAGTGGAACCGAGATGCTGGAGAGAATTTGCTGTGGGAGAAAAATCAATGGGTGGTTCTGCGCCTTCTTGAGCTTGAGGCAGTGAAGGTGGTTGGATCAGCTTTGATTTGCAGAAGTTTTACCAGAGCCATCACCCCAGCTGTTCGCTCTCGCCGCTACCCTCGCGGCATTCCTTGGATGCGTTCCTCCATGCGAGAGTCAGTTGCTGAAGGAAATAAACACAGTGTTTTCAACCGCAAGGTGATGAGAAAGGCTGAAGAGAAAGGGTTGATTTACTGGGTTGAAAATCCTGATACCAGCTTTCTATGGTTGCAGCGTGGCTATGAACGTTTTTCTGCACCAGATAGCAGCTGGATTTTCAGAGCTGATTTTTGTCGTTTTGGAACAGCATGGAGAAAGCGGACTAGAGTTGCCACCAACAGTCCCTCTTTGCGTAGTGTGAGGATGCTGTGCAAATGTGGAACAAGAAGCCACATTGTTTTGCGTGGCATGCACCCTACCCTACGAAAACCTTGGACTGCAGTTGCTGAACCTTACCCGCGCGGTTTTTGCAGTGTTTTGGCTGGCAGTTTGAGCTCTGACGCAAAGTGGAGCAGAAAGCTCAACATTGCCGGGTGCAGCCGCAGCCTCAGTCTAAGAGTTGGTGAAGCCAGCCACCCTGGCCCCCGTCAGTTCAGACGGCCTAGAGAAGTTTCTTTGGAGCTCATGCCGCAACAACTGGCAGCTTCGGTAGCTTTGGGAGATAGGTGTTGGGCAGCTTTTTACAGGTGGTCATGCGCAAGTTTTGAGCGTGTTCAGCCCTTGCAGCTTTTTCTTGAAGTGCCACTCTTTTTAGCCCATGCAATTCGGCGGTACGGTGATCTGCAGTTTGCAAGTGGAGGCTCTTTGCTTTACTATAGGCATTTGGTTTTGGCAGCTCAAAAGCGCGTGCCGAACTTGAGACAGTTTGTCTACCTATGCTGGGAGCTTGCTAGCCGATGGGAACTAGCTGAACCTGTGAAGCATCGAGTTCCTATCCCCTTGCCTGTGCTGCAGAGTCTGATATCACTGGCCATGATGATGGGTTAGAGAAAGTGGGCAGGTGTATGTTTACTGTGCTTTTATGGAATAGCCCGCGTAGGAGAAGTTCTGAAGTGCAAGCGTAGCCACTTACTGTTACCTGGTGATTTACTTGAGGAAGGAGGGTCTTCTTCTTACCTCCTTTTGGAAAACACCAAAACCAGCAGGAGATCTTCCGCAAGGGTGCAGCATTTGAAGATCAATGATGATTATGCTGTTCGTTTGCTTGGGAAGATTTTTGATGGGATGGACAGGGACAGTTTGCTTTTTGCTGGCTCGCCTTCTGCCTTCAGAACCAGATGGAACTTTTTGTTGAGCACGCTTGGCATTCCAAACTCAGTGGTTTTGACACCTGGAGGTTTGCGGGGAGGAGGTGCTGTTGAGAGCTATAGGAGAGGCCTTCCAATAGCTGATATCCAGTGGAGAATGCGTCTGAAGAACCAGATCACGCTGGAATCCTACTTGCAAGAAGTTGCAGCTCTCTCCGCTCTCACTCAACTTCCGCCAAGAACTTTGACTGCCGTACGTGCTGCCGCAAAGCTTTTTCAACACCTTCACTAAGTACGGGGTTGTCGTGACACCGCTTCTATGAAGCCTGGTGGTGCTGAACGCGTCATCGTCACCTTGGACCCGTTTCGCTTTCCAAAAGGCGGTGGCTTGAAACCAGCATTGCACTACTTCTTGGCCAAGCGCTACGGCATCTACTATGATTGCTTGGCCTACTTCGTGCTTTTGGTGCTGGCTCCGCACAGAACTTACATGAAGACTGATGGATGGAAAAAGGAAAGCAGCTTAGTGCCCCTTTGCAGTTGCAGACCGTTGTTTACACACATATATATATATTTTCATGTGCACATGGATGGGAATAAGAATATGAAAAGATATATATTTGTAGATTGTTTCGTACTTCTCTCGATATCTCCTGATGCACGGCTTCCACATTTGTCTATTGACTTCACGAATAATCTTGGTAGTAATTTGAATGAGAAAGAATGTGTTGCTCCTGATTTTTTTGTCAAGGGTTGCTGGCCTCTGGAGGCATGTGAAATACCATGAAGTACCTATCACAGCTCTGTCAAGTGCTCTCTGTGTTGGGTTTTGCAGCAGTAGACAATTTTATGGTACTTTCAGTGGTCACCCCCTGTCATTTTATAGAGCCACATGCGGCTTCCTGCCTGCCATTGCTTTAAGAGCGCCAATTTTATAGCACCCTCATGGGGTCACCCCCCACCCTTTTTTATAGAGCCACATGCGGCTCCCTGCCTGCCATTGCTTTAAGAGCACCCATTTGATAGCACCCTCATGGGGTCACCCCCCCACCATTTTATAGATGCACTTACATCACTGCGGAAACCACAGCTACAAATGCTTGCTCAGGTTTACTAGATCTTGTTGCTCCTGACACTTTTTCAAGGGTTGCTGGAGTCTGGATGCATGTGAAATACCATGAAATACCTAATTGCAGCTCTTTCAAGTGCTCTGTGCTGGGTTTTGCTGCAGTAGACAATTTTATGGTGCTTTCAGGGGTCACCCCCTGTCATTTTATAGAGCCACATGCGGCTTCCTGCCTGCCATTGCTTTAAGAGCATCAATTTTATAGCACCCTCATGTGGTCAACCCCTCATTTTATAGGTGCATATGCTGCTCTCTGCGTGCTATGGCCTCAAGGGCCTTCGGTTTTCTAGCACCCAGGGGGGGTCAACCCCAATCATTTTTGGGCTTTTCATTCCAACAAGTTCCGCGAATCCAAACTGAACCTTGGACCTGCCCCTGGTCCAAGCCTCCCAATCTCATATCCCTAGTTTTCTTGGTATCCACATACATCATCATATATCTACAACATATATCCACACACATAGCTGAATTTCTTTACATATCTCTACATACCAGTATCCCACAATCTTTCATAATAGTTTGCCCATCTTCGCCCCCTTACAACCAAAAACTATGCAAAAATCAACAGCCATCAAAATTTATGGTACCCTGAGAAGGACCGCAACCCTCTTCACTTTATACTTCCCACTTTGCTTTTATGGGATCCTGAGGTTGTGGTCACAGACCACGATGTCTATCCCAAAGGGGTCACCAGAGGGTTCAATCCCTTTTTTCAGTCTTTAAAGTCACAGGCAAGATCCACGGGGGGGTTTGATACCTACATGTTTATCATGTTGTTGCTAGAATCTGGCCAGATGGTTCAGGGGTCCCATCCTTCATATTTTAGTGTTGAATCTGACAGCTGCTATGAAATCTGTTGGGTTGTGCGTTGACCATCTGGATTTGGGACCAGTCATTTTATAGTGATTTCGGCGGATAACACTTCAGTGATTTGGGTCAGGACCCCTCAAAATATAGTATTTTGTTTTGGGTTGGGGCCACTCATTTTATAGGCAGTGACTAGTCATTTTATAGTGAAAACCATTTTATCCCTATAAAATGAGTGGAAAGACCCCCCCTCTGGTTTTTGCATCGGTATTGTAAAAGCTTCTGTGTGTAAACAGTATCTTTGTGTAAAAGTTTCTGTGTGTAAAAGCTCCTCTGTGTAGAGACATCTCTGTGTAAACGCATCTGTGTGTAAAGTGTAAAGGCTCCCCTGTGTAAAGACTTCTCGGTGTCAAAGCTTCTCTATGCAAAAGATGCGGTGTGTAAACGCACCTGTGTGGAAAGAACTTCTCTGTGTAAAGCCTCCTCTGTGTAAAAGTTTCTGTCCACCGTAAAGGCGTCTGTGTGTAAAACCATCTGTGTGTAAACGCGCTGTGTGTAAAAGCTTCTGTGTGTCACAGCTCCTCTATGTCAAGACTTCTCTGTGTAAAAGCTCCCTGTGTAAAGCGTTCTCTGCGAAAAAAACTTCTCTGTGCAAAAAGCTTCTGTGTGTACAAGCTTCTCTGTGTAAGAGCTACTCTTCGTAAAAGTTTCTGTGCGTAAAGGCTTCTGTGTGTAAGCGTGTTTGTGTGTAAAGACTCCTCTGTTTAAACGCCTCTGTGTGTAAAAGCTTCTGCGTGTGAAAGCTCATCTGTGTAAAGGCTGATTGTGTAAAAGCTTCTGTGTGTAAAATCTCCTCTGTGTAAAGACTTCTCTGTGTAAAAGCTTCTGTGTGTAAAAGCTTTCCTGCGTAAACGATTCCTTGTGCAAAAGATGCTGTGTGTAAACTTGTCTGTGTGGAAAGAACTTCTCTGTGTAAAAGTTTCTGTGCGCCAAAAAGGCGTCTGTGTGTACAACCTTCTGTGTGTAAACGCGCGGTGTGTAAAAGCTTCTGTGTGTCACAGCTCCTCTATGTCAAGACTTCTCTGTGTAAAAGTTCCTCTGTGTAAAGATTTCTATGCGTAAAAAACTTCTCTGTGTAAAAGCCTCTGTGTTTACAAGTTTCTCTGTGTAAGAGCTACTCAGTGTAAAAGCTTCTGTGCGGAAAGGCTTCTGTGTGTAAGCATGTCTGTGTGTAAAGACTCCTCTGTTTAAACGCCTCTGTGTGTAACAGCTTTTGCGTGTAAAATCTCCTCTGCGTAAACGCTACTGGTGTAAAAGCTTCAGTCTATAAAAGCTTCTGTGTGTAAAATCTCCTCTGTGTAAAGACTTCTCTGTGTAAAAGCTCCTCTGTGTAAAGACTTCTCTGCCTAAAAGACTTCTCTGTGTAAAAGCTTCTGTGTGTAAAAGCTCCTGTGTGTAAAAGCTCCTCTGTGTACAGGTTTGTTTGTGTAAAGTCTTCTGTGTGTATAAGCTTCTGTGTGTAAACAGTATCTTTGTGTAAAAGGTTCTGTGTGTAAAAGCTCTTCTGTGTAGAGACATCTCTGTGTAAACGCATCTGTGTGTAAAGTGTAAAGGCTCCCCTGTGTAGTGACTTCTCCGTGTCAAAGCTTCTCTGTGTAAAAGCTTCTGTGTGTAAAAGCTTTCCTGCGTAAACGATTCCTTGTGCAAAAGATGCTGTGTGTAAACTCGTCTGTGTGAAAAAAAACTTCTCTGTGTAAAAGGTTCTGTGTCCCGTGAAGGCGTCTGTGTGTACAACCTTCTGTGTGTAAACGCGCTGTGTGTAAAAGCTTCTGTGTGTCACAGCTCCTCTATGTCAAGACTTCTCTGTGTAAAAGCTCCTCTGTGTAAAGCTTTCTCTGCGTAAAAGACTTCTCTGTGTAAAAGCTTCTGTGTGAACAAGTTTCTCTGTGTAAGAGCTACTCTGTGTAAAAGCTTCTGCGCGTAAAGGCTTCTGTTTGTAAGCGTGTCTGTGTGTAAAGACTCCTCTGTTTAAGCCCCTCTGTGTGTAAAAGCTTCTGCGTGTAAAAGCTCCTCTGTGTAAAGGCTAATTGTGTAAAAGTTTCTGTGTGTAAAATCTTCTCAGTGTAAAGACTTCTCCGTGTAAAAGCTCCTCTGTGTAAAGACTTCTCTGCCTAAAAGACTTCTCTGTGTAAAAGCTTCTATGTGTAAAAGCTCCTGTGTGTACAAGCTCCTCTGTGTACAGGTTTGTTTGTGTAAAAAACTTTTTCGTGTAAAAACTACTCTGTGTAAAAGCTTCTGTGTGTAAACGTTTCTTTGTGTAAATGCGTCTGTGTGTAAAGGCTCCCCTGTGTAAAGGCTTCTCGGTGTCAAAGCTTCTCTGTGTAAAAGTTTTCCTGCGTAAACGATTCCTTGTGCAAAAGATGCTGTGCGTAAACGCGTCTGCGTGAAAAACGAAACTGCCTGCAGCAACAAACGTTTTGCCGTGCATGTCCCATTTTTCAGCCTTTGGACACCGTTTGACCGGTCTTGGGACCGTTTGACCAGCCTTGGGTCCACAATTTTTTCAGGACAATCGCAATGATGACATTTGTCCTGAAAAACCCGTACCAACAGCTCTGCATTGAACTCTCCCCAAGCCATTTCCATGGCTTCATGTCTTGTTGAAAACCCGTCCAATCAACAAATTTTCGCCAATGCATTTCCCATTGCCCAACATTTGAACACCGTTTGACCAATCTTGGGCACACAATGTTTCAGGACAATCCCGTTGCTGAAATTCGTCCCGAAAAACTTGTGCCAACAGCTCC